GTGTGTGTGTGTGTCCAGACTCGTGTCTGCAGGGAAAGCCGTCTCCTCCTCTGCTTCCTAAGAAGCTGATGCTGTACTCGTCTTCGTCGGGTCAGTGCTGTCGCCCGCTGCAGCTGCAGTACAGCGCCGCTCACCCGTCCAGCCGGATCATCCACGAGCTGCAGAAGACGCTGGCGCTCACCCTGCACAGGCTCGACAGGTGCCAAAACACACGCTCATAATCCACGATGCGAAGAAACCATTCTCCAGTCACATCACTTACAGCAGACAAAAACACATGACATGCACTGCCTTTCAAAGGTTTGGGATCAGAACGATTTTTACTGTTTTTTAAAGTAGTATCTTCTGCTCATCAAGGCTGCATTTATTTGATCAAAAATACAGAAAAAAACAGTAATATTGTGAAATGTTATGACAATGTAAAATAACGTTTTCTATTTTAATATACTTTAAAATATAATGTATTTCTGTGATGCGCAGCTGTATTTTCAGCATCATTACTCCAGTCTTCAGTGTCATATGATCTTCAGAAATCATTCTAATATGCTGATTTATTATCAGTGCTGGAAACAGTTGTGCTGCTTAATATTTTTTTGGAACCTGTGATAGTTTTTTCAGGATTCTTTGATGAATAAACAATTAAAAAGAACAGCATTTATTCAAAATATGAATCTTTTCTAACAATATAAGTCTTTGCTATCACTTCTTAACAATTTAACACATCCTTGCTGAATAAAAGTATTAATTTCTTCTTTTTTTTTTTTAAATTAAATAAAAATGTACTGACCCCAAACTAGTGTATATTGTCAGAAAAGATTTATATTTTGATTAAATGCTGTTCTTTTTAACTTTTTATTTATCAAAGAATCCTGAAAAAAGTATCACAGTTTCCAAAAAAATGTGAAGCAGCACAACTGTTTCCAGCACTGATAATAAATCAGCATATTACACTGATTTCTGAAGATCATGTGACACTGAAGACTGGAGTAATGATGCTGAAAATACAGCTGCGCATCACAGAAATACATTACAGTTTAATAGTATATTAAAATAGAAACATTTTCTTTTACATCATAATATTTCACAATATTAGATTTTTTTAAATGTATTTTTGATCAAATAAATGCAGCCTTGATGAGCAGAAGAAACTTCTTTAAAAAACAGTAAAAATCGTTCTGATCCCAAACCTTTGAACAGCAGAGGACACAGAGAAGCTGCTGTGGGGAAAGTGCTTGAGAATGATTTATGTTTTAACGGAATAATTCTAATTTTAAACAGGTTTAAAATTCTACATTTGTGATTGTATTTTTATGGAAACGCTAACAGTAAAGTTATTAACTGTTAGTTAAACAGTAACATCAAATCTGTGCTTGTGTGTTTTATTATCTTTTTTAATTTACTGTAAAATGGTAAGCAAGCAGTTGTTTTTTTGTTTTAGAATATAATTTAACCTTTTTTTTACACAATGTATAGCAGAGCCTACATAGATATATTCACTAGATTAGTTTTCATAGGCTTCAAATTACACATTGTTTGGAGCACAACATTGGGCAGGGTGAAGAATAACATTTTTAGTATGGATTAAATTATTTATTTTTATTGAAATTATTACATTTTAACTCTTTCCTCGTCAGCGTTGTTTTAAAAATGGCCAAAAAGCGTCAGCATTTTTTTTCTCTTCTTTGCCGCCAGAATATTTTGTTGTATGAATCTGTAAACAGTCAATATATCAAAAGACAGAACAAAACCTGCTTTAAAAAGATTTTCTAGCTACATTCATTCTTTTTTATCAACACTTGAATGTGGGCGAGTCGATTATCAAAATAACCATTAGTTGTATCCCTTGTGTGACGGCGATCTCTGGGTGAGGTTCTGACCCAGCTTACTACCCACCACAGACTCCATGGCCCAGTTAACCAGCACTCACTGATTGACTGCCAGCCGCTGCGGATGTTAGATGAAGTCTATCTGACCCAGTACTGCAGCTGTCAAACTCGCACGCTCTCATTTTACAGAAGCTGCATCTGAAGCAGCATTTCCATGTGTTTACACTGACTGTTTAATGCAGCTCAGAGGTGACATGAATGCATTTACACTGCGGCTGCAAATGCATAAATAACGATATAAAAATCTGAGTTTAGAAATATAACATTTAAAAAAATTAAATGCTTTAAACATTAAACTAAAAGCACCAGTAGGTGGTCTTAATGAGTGAGTCATTCAGTCAGTCATTCAACTGATTCAAATGATTTGTTCCAAAACACTGATTCATCCAGTAATGAACACCGTTTCACTGCTCACACAGTGGAAATTATTTTCTTGGTGAAATTGAGCAAAAACAGAGAATATTGTGCTAAAACTGTAAAAAAGTTACCTAATGTTAAGTTCTTGTTTATTGAACTCACATTTGAATATTGTGCTGATAATCAGTAAAAACTATATCATATGATATAAACATACTGTCAAAGTTTTTTTTCTTTTTGCGAAGTGAGTGACATATTCAATATCAGCTTCCCCATCATTAAAACGGCAACTACAGTATTATCATAGACTATATATGTGTTGGTCAGCCCTACTCTCTTATATTCAACCCAGGCTCACTGAAAATATGTGCTTGTGGTGACGCTTCTGCAAAACCAATGTTTCATGGAAGTTTCAAAGTGAGTGGCACTAAAATGTACATTTAATACGTGACTATGTGCTCTAACGTGTTGGAAAAATAACATTCCCACTACACCTAAACCTACCCAATAGTGTTAACAAATGCAAAAGTGACATAAAAACGCATTTGTTGATGCAACCATGCCATTTTAACTTCCATGTGGATTTGAGCTGTTTTGTTGAACGCTAGTTTCGCTGGATTCATACCGGAGTGCTTCACCTCACAAGTGCAACACTACTGAGCAAACCTGCTGTTAGAAAACCCATACATAGGAAGCTGTATATGTAACGCTAATATCCAAAAGTATTAGTTTCCAAATCTCGCAGCATGTTAAAATAGATGAGGTCATAACATAGTATTGTGCAAGGAATTGAGTGAAAATGAGGCTTTCTTAATCAACTCTGGCCCTGTAAATCAGATTTTGTGTGAGTTTTGCTGCCTCTAGTGTTCATTTCAACTGGAAACTGCAGCGATTTGTACGTATAGGTACATTTTTTGAGTTTGGCAGATACATGGGTAGAGGCACGTATTTCCAATGAGCCTGAGTAGCTTATATCTTAACATTTAGTTGAGGTGCTGGAGTCTGATTGGCCGATAAGTGTCTAATAGTGCTGATGTAACAGGTTTCACTGCATTGCATTCATCTGTGTTCAGATAGACTGTCTGTCTGTGTGTTAGAGGAGGGATTTTACATTGCAGACTCTTTCTGCAGTTACACGGATACACCAGTAGGTGATGACAAGTGACTCTATGAATGAGTCATTGAATTATTCACTCAACCGATTTGTTCAAAACACTGATTAATTCACTGCGCTTCATCAGCTTTAACGTCTCAGTGTTTGGTGGATGTGTGATGTACGGTGAAGTGTGTATCACAGATGCTTTGAGATCATCCTAGCGAGTATCTGTCCCAGAAGTCTTTGCTGTCACATGACCGCTGGTGTGTTGTGTTCCTGCAGCTCTGCGGTTCACGCGGGTCAGTACAGCGCTCCTCTCCCGGCCGTGGTGATCGACTGCGACGATGATAAAGAGAACATCCCCAACGAGTCTGACTATGAGGACTTGCCCAGCATGTATAAGGATGAAGAGCAGGAGGAGGAGGATGACGACGATGACGACGATTCGCTCTTTACAAGTTAGTCTTGAAACCGTTTGTGTTTGCTGGTGGGTTATGGCAGATTCATTGATTTGTCCTTTTGTAATGAGGCAGTCAGGGCTCACTCTGTGTGTGTGTGTGTGTGTACCTGGTATTTATCACGTTATGGGGACCAAATGTCCCCACAAGGATAGTAATACTAGTCAATTTTGACCTTGTGGGGACATTTTTGAGGTCCCCATGAGGAAACAAGCTTATAAATCATACAGAATGAGTTTTTTTGCGTCTGCGTCTGTGTCTGCGTCTGTGTGTCTGCGTCTGCGTCTGTGTCTGCGTCTGTGTCTGCGTGTGTGTCTGCGCGTGTGTCTGTGTCTGCGTCTGTGTCTGCGTCTGTGTCTGCGTGTGTGTCTGTGTCTGTCGCGTGAGATGAGTCAAATACTGCAGTAAAGACATTCGAGGAAATAACCTGTGTATGCTGATGACATCAGTGACTGTCATTATTTCAGTGTGACTGAAACCACCTTAGGTTGCATAATCACTGATCGTCATGTGTGTCACACAAACACTGCATTACTGCGGTTATCTGAGGAGCCAGACGTTTGCAGCTGTAATGCGATGCTCAATTTCTCAGAAGACAGTCTTCTTTCAGACTAGTGGAAAGAAAACATCAAAATACACATTTAAGTGTTTATTTTACTGCACTTGTCTTTATCTATTATATAGTCCATATTTTTAAAGAGTTATTTTTTCTCTTATGCATGCCAAAATGTACAGTTTCACTCCTCTCTATATTCTGAAGGTTTGTTTATATTTCATTCTCACCAATTTATACCACATTTTACTCCTAAAAACATGGTGAAAATGTGTCTTCTGTCTGTTGACAGTATTTTCTTATTTATGGAGTGATAAAAAGAGAAATCCAGAATCCCCACTGGAAAAACCTTTAACTCTAATATGACAACAAAATCAAAGAGGAATTATTAACCTGAATGTTCAGACTAACCTCTTCTGGAAATGTATGCAAATTAGTGAATATTTAATTAGATAATTGCCTCATTTGCAAAATGGCACAGAATTGTTAATTTGGTCCCATGCGTTGAGCACATAAATATACAGTAAACAAGGCATTGGATGGCTTGCACAGCCCTGTCTCTCTGATGTGGTTTGGAAGCAAACAGGTTGGAAAGACAATAGAGCAGTGTAGGTCATGAAAGAATGGTTTGTAAATGTTGTACATTTGTAAATTGTGTGTTTTAAACAGGAGACTGAGCCAGAGACCCACGGCTGAAGAGCTGGAGCAGAGGAACATCCTCAAACGTGAGTCCAGAGCCCAGAGAGACACTTACACACCAATGTTCACTTCCCATGATGCAGTCTGTTCCTCGTGGATGAAACCAGATCCTCACATGTCTGAAGTAAACAGGTTGTGAACAGCATTTCACGATGACTGTAATGTGCAGTGATCTCGATTCAGACTTTAACACCGTATGTGTGTGATGTGAAAGCACCTCTGACCTTTGACCTCTGACCTGCAGCTTGTAATGAGGAGGAGCAGATGGAGGAGAAGAGAGAGATCAGACGCCGGCTCTCATGCAAGGTGAGTGTGTGTGAGAGTGAGAGAATGAGTGTGTGAGAGTGAGTGAGTGAGTGAGTGTGTGTGAGTGGCAGTGAACGCGAATCTCCCTGCTTGCACGCGGATTTAATTTGCTCTCGCACAAAACCTGAAGCGCTGTGAGAGTGTGAGAGTGTGAGAGTGTGAGAGTGTGAGAGTGTGTGAGAGTGTGAGAGTGTGAGAGTGTGGAGAGAGTGTGTGAGAGTGTGTGAGAGAGTGTGTGTGTGAGCGTGTGTGAGCGTGTGAGCGTGTGTGAGTGAGTGAGTGTGAGTGAGAGCCTGAGAGCGTGTGTGAGAGCCTGTGAGCGTGTGTGAGTGTGAGTGAGTGTGAGTGAGTGTGAGTGAGTGTGAGTGAGTGTGAGTGAGTGTGAGAGCGTGTGAGAGCGTGTGAGCGTGTGAGAGTGAGTGAGTGTGAGTGAGAGCCTGAGAGCGTGTGTGAGAGCCTGTGAGCGTGTGTGAGCGTGTGTGAGCGTGTGTGAGCGTGTGTGAGAGTGAGTGAGTGTGAGTGAGTGTG